AGTTCATGATACCACACCTTCAGCGTTTCAACACATGCTGTCTTGTTGAGACATTAAACCACAATGACAATGTGCCGAACAGCTTGGATTACTCAGATAATGCTAACAACTGTTAACTCTAACTCTACTTTAAAGTCCAGCCTCCCATACACCTCACCCTATGGGAATAATGTGTTAACTATGGTAATAGCTAAATGATACATTACATTAATTTACATAATGATAACAGTTAATTCTGGTTAGAATTTGAAATTAGATGTTAGATATTAGACAGCTTGTTAGATAGTTAGAAGTTAGTAGTTAGCAATTAGTAGTGTTTTAGTGTTAGGGTTGGTTAGTGATTAGTTAGTGGTTAGCTATGATTATATTCTGCCTTGGAAAGTGAAAAGTTAAATTAAAGTTAAATTAAAGGCTAGTGCACTAATAGTTACAATAGTTAATGCATTACATGTGTCTTGTAACTATCATTAAACAATGCATTAATATGACAGGGTAGCCTCACTCAAGCCTTTTCAGGTGAATTGCAGGCATCTGCAGTGTGCATTGCACCATCTGCAGCTATTTGTGAGACTGCAGACATCAGTGCAAGCATTGGAAAGAAAAATGTTCCATCTGTCCCATCAATGCTGCAAATGCAAGTTTGCCAACACAGGCATGTAGATGTTAAATCTGACTCACCATTTTTGGGACTGAAGCTGGAGCAAGAATCCTGATTATATGGGCTGCCACTCATTAGTATTGGGCCTAATACCAATGCTGCACTTGATCAGTTGAGGTTGGAGGATGGAAATTTACCCAAACTCCATCTTTTAGTTCAGACTGCCTGTAGCAGCTGATGGAGGCAGTGCTCAGGTCTCCCAAATGAGATCTATTGTATGAGCATGCATGCATCCTGTCCATGGCTCTCTTTGCCGATCTTCATGTCATGCAGCTAAGCCCAGAAGTTGTAAGAGTGAGCGATATTAAAATTTAGTGCCGCTATCATACTAAACTGAATCTTGCTACTACTAGCAGCAAAATTCTATGCTTACAGTCATTCTTAAGCTTCTTGATACACTTGTCTTTTTATGCACGCTTTACTTGTTTTGGCTTTTATTCTTTTACGTGTAGATCCTATCCCCTATTTTTTAGTCATGGACCATATATCAGATGTCTCCATTGTGAGTTTGAAAAGATAAATAAATAAATCCTTGGTCTGTTTAAATATCTGAACTTGAGCTTAAAGTCACTGATACTGTATCGTCTCATAAATGATGGTCATCTAGTCTTTCTACACCAAGAGTCACTCAAGGCACATCCAGGCACCCCCTCATATTTGTCCTAAGGTCACTCTAAGCAAGGAAGCTTGTATGGCACTCAAGCTTCAGTGGCATGAAAAATCTTGTCAATTCAAAGACACCCTCAATGCAACATGGAGTCAAATTGATAATGCAATGAAGACAATTGCCACATCTCACCACAAGAGCATCCGCTGTGTGCAGAATGACCTGTACATGGGTCATGGATTGCTCCATTTGAAGTGTTCAAAGGCCAACCCTTGGAACACATTTTGCTGAAAGAAATCTCAGGATGCGAAGAAGGAAAATAGTAGGTTGATGTTTACTCATTTTTGTTTGAATATTCATTTTGATTTGCAGGCAGTGGACATGGAAAGGATGCACTCCCAGTCACTAGTCCATGACAATGTGGCTGAATACCATGTATTCTCAAAGCAAGAATAAGAAACTCTTCTCAAGGAGTATGCAGATAAGAAACAAAAAAAGGCCACTGGTACTTGCATCTCAACCAAGTCCAAGGTCAATGACATCACTCAAACCCTCAAGGCCATAGAAAATGAGGTATGTGCCTTCTCAACTTGCAGTGCAATGTTTTCTGATGTTGCCTTACTACTAGCTCAATAGTCTTAATTGTCGCACTGGTGCAGAAGTCATGTTGTACATGACACGTGGCTCTACTGATCTTCCTCTTTGAGGAATCACCTTCACTACTGATGGTGTTCAAAACTTTATGGGTTCTGTTATGGGCATCAACAATCAGAACTTGGTTAGCAAAATGGAGGGCTTTGCCATCCAAGGAGTGCGAGGTGTGATTTTCCTTCCCTCTGAGTTGCATACTACCTTTGGATCTTATTTTAATTTTTGCTTACTAGGTGCTGCAAAAAATCATCAACAGCGCATCTCTCAAGTTTGTGGTTCAATCCAGGATGTAATCAACCGTGGTTTGCATAAGTTTTTATTTTTTTGCAATGCTGCATAATCTAACTGGTAACTAATTGTATCAACAGAAACAGTGACCAGCAAGCCTCATGCCAAGATGCAGTGGGCCCGTTATTTCTGTAATGTGGTTCAACACTATCAGGTTGCGATCGAAGGATGGTCAGACTGCGTCCTTTCACTAATCTCAATCAAGTGCCCAGCACCCTTCCAGATCTTGAAATGCTCTTATGACAGTGGGAAACAAGTCTACATACTGGAAAGTACTGGACAATGAAGAGTTTGAGCAGCTTCATCATGAACACGATGATAAACTCAAATGAGATGATATTATTGATCATCGCCGATGGACACGGTCTGATAAAGGCAACTCGAAGCGCTGTGGAGCAGCTGACAATTCTTGCTCCGGGCATTGCAAGAAGACAACACATAGGAGTATAGAGATCATTGAGTCTAGTGATGAGGAAGAAGTCCAGCCTGATAGCCAAGATCAGTTGCCAACACCATCCAACACCCCCACTTCAAGTAATATACCAGCACCAGACCCATCCACTATGTCCTCTTCAAGCAATGTGCCATTCAATGCCTCTGACACTATGCCAAATGTCCCTTTTTTTTTATGCTGATATGCTTTGGCCTGCCTTGATGAGCTTTTCAACTGCATTCTGAAACCACCCAATGGTCCTTTTCCTAATTTTTTTGATAGTAATTTTGATTTCAGTGGTATTTAAGACACGGTTTCCACACTATAATCATGGAATAACTAAGCAAAAGACTTTATTGGTGGCTACTATATATAATGACATGAGTAGAGATGTTCATAATTTCATAAATTGATGCCTCCATCAAAATATCAAGTCTATTAGCTCGCACACAGAGGACCCTCTGAGTATATCTCACACCACCCATTTTCCTACCCTTCACATTCCTCACCTACATTAGCCAGCAGATATGAGCCTCCTCTCATGCATGGTCTAAGAGAGACAGAGTTTGACTCTGGTGACAACTTGACCAAGACCAATGAAAATAAATGTCTGAGGTGCTGTCCATGAGCAAATATTCAAGGCATGTTCTTATGGAAAAATGCGACACTCAACAGGTTTGAAACCTGTTGCACTCCAATAGAAACAGATTTTGATTCTGTCAGGACAACCACTTGGCTAAAACACAACTCTGATGAGCTTGTAAGCAGATTGCAAATCGACCATGAGCATGTGTCAAGGTGCGGTTTTATAAAAAATGAATTTTATCATTGGCAGGTTTTAAACCTGCACATTCCAAGAGAAACATATTTTGACTCTGATAATTACTGGCAATTTCATCTTTAGCAGGTTTTGATCCCACACACACATAGGTTTGAAACAGATTTGGATTCTGTTATAGCAACTGTTTGACTGGCACCAGTTAGATCCATCTTTAAAGAAAATGTTCAGAAGTGAATCTGCAAGACAAGTCTACAGTTCCCTGTCACTCACAATGTTTTCCCTCAGCTGAACAGATGAATTGAATACAGACTGCAATACAGCACTTTCAAAAAGTGAGAGGAGAGCAACGTGATGATGAAGGTCTCAAATACAGTACACTTCAACCTTATACATAAGTGAATAATGGCCGGATGGCTCTTTTGAATCTCAGCCTTGACAGATGTGTGTTCTCTTCTTCAACTAAGTCAAGACCTTTGGAGAGAATTAAATTGCTTTTGTACTTATCATTCCAAGTTTGCATCAAAGATACTTACATTTGCCTCTGGTAATTTTTTAGAAGAAAAAGCAGAATAAAAGAATCAACAGTGACCATGCTATTGAAAGAACTGACAAAATGTAGATAAAATGTGCCTTGAGGATTCACTTCTGAATGAGTAGCCAAGCAGTTGATACAACAGAATCTAAATCTGTCTGTGTGGGTTCAAAACCTACTAAAGATCAAGTTGCAAAGTGATTATTAGAGTCAAAATCTGTTTGTCCTAGACTGTGGGTTTGAAACCTATCAATGATATATATATATTTCACTTTCTATGAAAATACACCTTGACACATGCTTATGGTCGGTTTGCTTATTAAAAAGCTCCTCAAAGCTGTATTTGGCAAAGTGGTTGTCATAATAGAATCAAAATCTGTTTTCATTGGAATGCAACCTGTTGAATGTTGCTATTTTTTTCTATTAGAACATTCCTTGAATAATTGCTTGTAGACAGTATCTCAGACACTCATCTTCATTGGTCTTGGTCAAGTTGTCATCAGAGTCAAAATCTGTTTCTCTTGGACTTTGTGAGTTTCAAACCCGCCAATGATAACATTTTTATTCTATGAAATCATGCTTTGACATTGACTCATGCGTACTTTCCTGAGAGCTCCATCTCACTGGTCTTAGCCAAGTAGACATTGAAACAGAGTCAAAATCTATTAGGAGGGTAGTGTTGTATAAACTGAGCCTGAAAGTGAGTTGTAAATATGGATCCTATGAGCCTACAAAGATAGGGTGATGTGGAGCCCAGAGATGTTCTTGGACACAGAAAAGTGCATCCACAAACATCATAAAAGCAGATGTTTGGGAGCACGAGCTACAATGTGAAAGTACACATGAGTCAATGTTAAGGTCAGATTTCATAAAATAAAAATGTTATCATTGGCAGGTTTCAAACCTGCACAGTCCAAAAGAAACAGATTTTGACTCTGATGTTCACTTGCAATTGTATCTTTAGCAGGTTTTGAACCCACACAAACAGATTTGGATTCTGTCATATTAACTGCTTGGCTATAAGACCAGTTGGATGCACTCCTAATGAGCCCATTCAGAAGTGAATCCTCAAGGTACATTTTGTCAGTTCTAACATTAATTTCTAACATCCTCCTTGAGTCCAATCATGTGTGATCCTTCCATTGTCAGTTGTCACTCACGACTCAGTTGTTAATCCAAAAGACATCACAAACATCACCAGCCCACTGTGGTGGTCTGCCATCAGCAATTTTTCAGAGTAATTGCTAGATAAACAGGCCTAAGAATTAATCGTGGTGATCATACTATTGAAAGAACTGCCTTGAGGATTCACTTATCAATGGGTCCATTGGAAGTGCATCTCACTGTTCTTAGCCAAGCAGTTGATATGACGGAATCTAAATCTGTTTGCATGGGTTCAAAACCTGCTAAAGATGACATTGTCAAGTGTTTACGAGAGTCAAAATCTGTTTCTTTTGAAATGTGTGGGTTTGAAACCTGGCAATGATAAAATATATTTCTATGAAAACACATCTTGACAATTGTCTCATGAGTTATTTTCTCAAAACCTCATCTCAACTGATGTTAGCCATGTCATTGCCACAATAGATTCAAAATCTGTTTCCATTGAAGTCTACAGGTTTGAAACCTGTTGAGTGATGCATTTTTTGTAACAGAACATGTCTTGAATATCTGCTCATAGACAGCATCTCAAACATTGATCTTCATTGGTCTTAGTCGAGTTGTCACCAGAGTCAAAATCTGTTTCTCTTGAACTGTGCAGGTTTGAAACCTACCAATAATAACATTTTTATTTTTATTTTATTTTATTCTATGAAATCACACCTTCACATTTCCCACATGAATCTTAAAATGAATCAGAAGGCCTCAAATTTCTGGTTATCATTATGCGCATCGGCTTTTCTTCAGCTCCATCGTGTGTCCTTTCTCCGTCCTATCTGTGTCCTCTGCTTGTCCATTGGTGCGTATTTTACTTGATTTGTATTAGACTGACCATATTTCCAAAGTATATTTTCATTACTTGTGCCATGAATCCTTGTTACATATTACCGCTACCTACTCGGCTCCAAATAGTGCTTTGGCACACTCTCATATATACTAAATACTTATGATTTTCATGCAACATCTATCTCTCCCATCGAATTATCATCCATTTGCATGCAATAATGCTAGGACTAAAAAATCTAAACCTTCAGCATACCTCCGCGCGCGCATCTCTAAATGGCTGCACTAATGTTTGCATTTCATACACCTGCTTTTTATCATCAAACATCCCTTTCTGTTTATCATCAAACATCCCTTTCTGTTTATCATTGTGCCACCTCATTTTTGTGCTTGCAGCTTTTCACAATAACCTTTTGGCTTGACCAAGTGCTTTCGCACTTTGTCAAATCTTCAGCCGCATGGCTGCGCATCATATCGCGCTTTTGGCAACTCACTCATGCTCACATCACACCAGCGCTAACTTTTGCATTCCCTCTACTCTCAGTTACCCTACCAGTTTCTAGGTTTCCCCTCATATTTTACATTAGAGGAATCATTCTCAGTAGCAATCCCCTTGGGCCAAATCTATACTCGCATCCAGAGGTCTATTTGAGTTTTTACCCCACTTCACCCTTTCTTCTCTTTCACCCCTTCTCATCTAGCTATCATTCCTCGCACACACCGTCTATGAGCAAATATTTGAGGCATGTCTTATAGAAAAAAATGTGATGTTTACAGGTTTCAAACCTTGCGCTCCAATAGAAACAGATTTGGATTCTGTTACATACAACAACCACTTGGCTAAATACAGCTCTGATCAGCTTGCAAGCTGACCAACCATGAGCATATGTCAAGGTGTGCCTTTATAGAATAAGAACAAAAATGGTTCATTGGCAGGTTTCAAACCTGCACTGTTCAAGAGAAACAGATTTTGACTCTGGTGATCACTTGAGATTTTATCTTTAGCAGGTTTGAACCTGCGCAGACAGATTTAGATTCTGTCATATCAACGCTTGGCTAAGACCATTTAGATTCACTTCCAATGAACCCATTCAGAAGTGAGTGCTCAAGGTACATTTATCTGCATTTTTCAGCTCTTTCAATAGCATGGTCAGTGTTGATTTTTTATCCTACTCTTATTGAAAAAGACACAGACTTCCTGCTGGAGCTCTTGGACTTCAAGACCTGTTCATCTAACAATTTCCCTAAAAAAATGCTGACTGGAAGACCACCAGGGTGGGTCCATGAGGTGAAAACTGACAATGAAAGGATCATATAGTATATTTTTGACACAGAGTTCAATATAGGACCAAAGTCTTGATGCGAACTCGAAAGGATGAGTACAATGACAATATAATTCTTTCTAAAAGTCTTGGCTTGGTTGAAGAAGAAAAAGAGCAGATTACACATCAAACTTTCAAGTTTGATCCTAATAACCTGGGGAATTAGTAAAAATACAAATCTATTAGGGCTGAGATTCTTCATTTTGCTTATTCAAGTGATTGCCAGAGTCAAAATATATTTCTCTTGAACTAAGCAGGTTTGTAATCTGTATAATGATGCGTATTTTGCATTAACTCGTGATTCATCACATTCCACCATGTTGGATTTCATAGAATAAAAATGTTATTGTTGGCGGGTTTTAAACCTGCACAGTTGAAGAGAAACAGATTTTAAATCTGGTGACAACTTGACCAAGACCAATGAAGATCAATGTCTGAGATACTGTCTATGAGCAAATATTCAAGACATACATTCTCAGAGAAAAAAATGCAACATTCAACAAGTTTCAAACTTGTTGCACTCTGATGGAAACAGATTTTGATTCTGTTATGACAGCCACTTAGCTAAACACGACTGTGATCAGCTTGCAAGCAAACCGAGCATGAGCAGATTTCAAGGTGTGTTTTCATAGAAAATAAATTTTATCACTCAGTGGCAGGTTTCAAACCTGCACAGTCCAAGAGAAACAGATTTTGACTCTAATGATCACTTGGCAAATTTATCTTTAGCAGGTTTTGAACCCATGCAGACAGATTTAGATTCTGTCATATCAACTGCTTGGCTAAGACCAGCTAGATGCGCTCCCAATGAACCCATTCAGAAGCAACTCACATACTTTTGCCTATTGTCTGCACTTCCGCTATAACTGCTATTTGACACTGAGCGCTCGAAAGCACCTCAGCGCAGAATGTCACACTGTTGTCTAAATACTTCTGCTTTATCTCAGAACTTCCTCGGGTCATTAGAATCAAACTGGAAAGTTTGATGTGTAATCTGCTCTTTTTCTTCAATCAAGTCAAGATCTTTGGAGAGAATTAAATTGTTCTTGTACTTATCATTCCGAGTGTGCATCAAGACTTTGGTCATACATTGAACTTTTGTGCCTTGAGGGTTCACTTCTGAATGAGTTCATTGGAAGTGCATTTCACTGGTCTTAGCCAAGCGGTAGATACAACAGAATCTAAATCTGTCTGTGTGGGTTCAAAACCTACCAAATATTAAATAGCCAAGTGATTGCCAGAGTCAAAATATGTTTCTCTTGGACTGTGCAGGTTTAAACCTGCCAAGGATAATTTTCATTTTCTATAAAAATGCATCTTGATATATTCTCATGGTTGGTTCGCTTAAAAGCTCATCAGAGTTGTGTTTGGCCAAGTGGTTGTCATAACAGAATCAAAATCTGTTTCCAGTGGAACATAACAGGTTTGAAACCTGTTGAATGTCGCATTTTTTGTTCTATTAGAACATGCCAAAGCCTCGACATGGACTCATGTGTACTTTCCTGAGAGCACCATCTCACTGGTGGTGTGATTTCATAAATAAAATGTTATCATTGGCAGGTTTCAAACCTGCACTGTCCAAGAGAAACAGATTTTGACTCTGATGTTTACTTGCAATTTCATCTTTAGCAGGTTTTGAACCCACACAGACAGATTTAGATTCTGTCGCATCAACTGCTTAGCTAAGACCAGTTAAATGCACTCCCAATGAGCCCATTCAGAAGCAAATCCTCAAGGTACATTTATTTGCATTTTATCAGTTCTAACATTAATTTTCTAACATCCCCCTTGAGTCCAATCATATGTGATCCTTCCATTGTCGGTCCTCACTCATGACACAGCTGTTAATCCCAAGACATCACAAACATCATCGGCCCACCATGGTGGTCTGTCATCAGCACTTTTTCAGAGCAATTGCTAGATAAACAGGTCTTGAAGTCAAGAGCCCCAGAAGAATTCTGATGTCTTTTGCAATAAGAGTAGAATCAAAGAATCAATCATGGCAACCATATTATTGAAAGAACTGCCTTGAGGATTCACTTTTGAATGGATTCATTGGAAGTACATTCAACTGGTCCTAGTCAACCAGTAGATGCAACAGAATCTAAATCTGTCTGTGTGGGTTCAAAACCTGCTAAAGAAGAAATTGTCAAGTGATCATCAGAGTCAAAATCTGTTTCTCTTGGAATGTGCAGGTTTGAAACCTGCCAATGATAAAATTCATTTTCTATCAAAATACACCTTGAAATTTGCTCATAGTCGGTGTAGAGACTGACATCTCTGTGGCCTCATAGAGAGCTAATTCTACAACGCCCTAATCACCTTCCAAACACAGCGCGACCCGTATCTCATTTCTGCGCACTTGGCGCTTCATCGGCTGCTTGCGCATTCAGGCACTTCAGTCGCACATCGGCGCATGTATCCTTGGTTCCATCGCTCGTCCTTTGTCCATCCATTCCATGTCTGTTCAGTTCGTTGGTGCATATTCCTATCTTATTCTCATGTATTCTGACATATCTCCGGCGCTTGCGCACATATTCCGTATGTTTCGTCACGGACCCTTATTACATATCATCACGTAGTCGCTCCTCGCTTTCTGGTTCGCTTTAGCACTTGACAGCGCTTAACGCTACTTAGAATATATATACCTTTGCCTCTATGTATAATGATTATCTTCTTCTTCCCGCACATTGTTGGACTCTAAGTCTGAAATTCTCCGTCATATCCACCAACCGACAGTAGAGCGCTTTAACGCGCCCGAGCGCCAGTCTTTATATTCTTATATACGAACATTGTCTTATCTGTTCCCCAACTCACTTAAGAGTCGCTGCGCTCCACCACCCGCACGCGCTGAAGGTACAACAATTCAGATGGTAAGTCTGAACAATGTTGGGTCTTGCAGAACCTAGCTGCTATTCGACCCTAAAGGGTTTCTGGACCAGGCTCAAGGCTCAGAGGAGAGGAAATGTCATAAAAACTGCTCAAGACTCAGACAGACTCATACTGGTAACTGGTGAAAAGATAACTTGATTATGTAAGCTACAAAGTGCCAACATAAGGTAAGGTAAAGACAGTCTCTCCAAGCCTAGCCAGAAATGAATCCCTACAGCGCGCTTCGCTCTCACTCAGCGCGCGCCATTGCACTTGTCGCTCAGTAGCGCTCCATAGCGCTTTCCATGCTTCGCTCATCGTCGCGCACCTCACCAGGCTTATCCGACAGCCCGGTTCAGTGTTTCCCTCCACTATTATATATAGAGAAACCTTCTCAGTAGCAATCCCCTTGGGCCGACATTAGATTCATGCACAGAGCACCATCTGAGTATATCTCACACCACCCACCTTCTACCATTCTACATTCCTCACCTACATCGGTTTGTTCACAAGATGATCAAAGTTGTGTTTAGCCATGTGGCTGTCATAACAGAGTCAAAATCTGTTTCTATTGCAGTGCAACAAGTTCAAAACCTGTTGAACACCACATTTTTTCTATAAGACCCTGACTTCAATATTTGCTCACAAACAGTATCTCAGACATTCATTTGTTTTTTTTTCATGCAAGCTTGTGCAATTGAGGAATAAGTTGAATCCAGCTCTTTGCCAGTGTGGGACTATGAACCTCTTAGCTTACATACACCTACTAGATAGGTAAGTTTTTACCTTCCTGACTTTGACCACATCTAAAAGTACATCCAAAGTACCAATGTACTTGTCTAATGCAAGCGAAGGTGGTCCAAAGTCAAGAAATGAAGGTCTGATGATGCACAGAGGCTCTGAAGAGCTTGCGACTAAACAGTGAGGTTTCTGAGAGTCAGTATAATGGGTATGTCAAAGTATAAGACTAGTGAGAGTATAAAAGTACAACTATGCAAAGCATATTGAAAGACTCAGAGATAGTAAGATGTGAAGTGGCAGCGGTCAAACAAAACAAAAGGATCGATTGCGTGAAGTATGACTTATCTGAAAGTGACTCTACTAACTATGACTCATAGCAAGGGAAGGGAAGTGAAGTACAAATCAGCTGGCAAGTGAGATTATATACTACAGCATGAAAGTGTGGAATTGTGTAGGCAAGAACAGTAGTGAGATAAGCTATCTGAAATGTAATAAGACTCGAGGCGAGTTGCTACACCGATATCCATGTAATAATGCATAAGGCGTGCTGCTATATGCATTATTTGAGGCTCCCTATGGGCTGCCAACATATCTGTTCCTATGACATATTCAATAATAGACAAATGAAGTGAAAACATGCTAGCAAAGTCAAATGGACATGAACAGGACATGAGACAGTGGATTGCAGAAGAGAATCGCCCTCAGAAGTGGATGGACTACCTTTGGATGACTTGGACAGATGTGTGGATGCTTCATAACAGTCAAGGAGTGTTGAGGAGTACTTCTGTGAGACATATGTGGAAATGGCAGGATATGAGTCCAGCACCAGCACCATTGCTACAGTGTGTATGTTGATGGTGGGAGTACATAACTTTCTCTTTGCCATTGGCACTTGAAATAATGAGCACAGTGGCCATCAATTTCAATAATCTGTGGTGTTGGATCAAGTTTTAATCTCTCATAAGGTGTTCTGTTTTGTACTTGATTAATATGATATTTGCATTGAGGTTATTGCACATACAGAGCTCATCTTCTGCCATCTCATCATCTTTGTACAATCAATGCATTCTCTTCTTCCTCAGTATGCACAACAGCCTGCTGACTCAAAAACATCTTTGGACATGGAGACAATGGTGCTGTGACAGGCCTATTTTTGTCAGCTGACTCATCTTCATTGGCAGGAGTGTTACCAGGCAGTAGGGGTTTTTTTGACTTTCTTCAGGTTCATGTTCCCACTATCTCCACTGCTGTTGTTTTTTTGCTTCTTTGACAAAGTTTTGATAGTCTGCTCTTCTAGAGCAGCTTTGGCCTTTCCAGTCATTTTGATAACTTGTTTGACTGTGGCTGCAAAGGTGAGCTGTATGATGGGAAGTACTAGTAGGTGATGAAGGTTTGCGAGTGTCACGCAGGATGTTTATCTTTATCTTTAGAGTTTGACAGTTTTCAAATTGTTTAGGTAGTCAAAATTTATTTACATGACACTGATTTTGATTGAAATCCATGGTAGGGATATGGATAGGGGTATGGGTACTGTGATTCCACACCCACACCCACACCCATACCCCAGTGATACCCATACCTATAACCTGCATGAGTGACTCATATCCATGCAGTACCATACTCACAAGCTAGAGGCTTAGGCAAGCAAGACCCAACATATTATTCAGTATCCATCAATCTGAGTTATCATACCTACATTAGGTTGCAAATATCCTTGGTTGTACTGTAGACAGAGCTTGGACCAACTTTAGAGAAGGATAGACTTCTTAGCCTGTCACTCTTTCTCATTATTGTGTTCACCACCATGAGAAAGAGATACAACTCAGAATGGTTGATATGAAGAAAGTACCAAACTAAACTAATATGATATTACATTGAGGTCTGTAGCACTGCTTAAGCTGCTATGCTTGTATGAATAAGTGCATTCAATCCTAAAGAGGTCTGCTATTAAGAATATGCTCAAGGAGGTGGATCCAAAGGGCTTGGCTTCAGCTTATGCGCTGTAACAATACAACAATATAACAATGGCTGGGCACTACACAAAGTAAGTACTCAGCCAAATATAAGTGTTGTAGTCTTGCACAGCCTAGCCTGCTATACTTGCAAGACAAGTGTGTTTGACTTGAGGGGTTAGCTGTTTGGAAGAAGTTCTAATGTTAGTGATATAATGTACGGTCAATAGTCCAAGCACAGGAAACAATGTCTGAAGGTATAATTATGAGTCCAATGTTTTTTGGGTTAGTGAATTAGTGGGTTTTGGGTTGTAGGAAACAGGTATAGTGAATGTTGGAGAAGTGAGCAGTATGTGGTGTCTTACTAGGATATGATTGGCAATAAAATCACCAGTTCTTACTATCCTCTATGGTTAATGGTTCAGACAAATACCAACGGTTGATAATGTGGTTGTTCATGGGAGGAGGCTTAAATAGCTGGATCTTTCTAAACAAATTTCTAATGACTTTAGGTGGGTTGAGACAGTGACCGTTAACTGGCTTGATGCAGCACTTAGGATACTAAAGATAAAGATTGTAAATGGTGTAGTCAAATCGATAACTGGCTTAATGCAGTACTACGATGCTACTAGAAGAGGATTGCAAAGGTGTGCAATATGAAGATGAAGATATGGATCACAACAGTCCACAATGAATCAGAGTAATATCTTGTAAACACTCCCTATTCTCAAAAATTAGAGGAGATCAAACTAAGCCTCTAATATAATCGAATCAACCAAAATACGTAGCTTTAAAACTAACTTCTCTGCTGCTCAGGCACTCACAATGAGTATGATGCAGAATCAGAACAGAGTACACCCTCTTGATGTAGTCTTAAAGCAGCCAAGCTTTTAATATTGCTGAATAAAGTGCTAGTCTTATTTGTTGTCCTCCTAATCATTAAAAATACATAAATTCTCCCCACAGAAAAGGTATCCTGTGTTGTAAAGAAAATGTGACAAAACTACAACTAGATGACTGATAACTGTGTACCAGCTAGTGTAATTTAAGGATTGGCTCAAGGTAGGCCTCAGAAGATCAGTATGTTGTGGGAAATGATGACAAAAGAATGGAGGGAATAAACTAATATTCACCCAGATGTTTACACAAATATAGGGTGAGAAATTCAGGAAGATACTCAAATCCTCCTCCCTCTCTCTAAAAGGAAGATGTCTGTCCTCTCAAAGGAAGCTTATTTCTAAAGGGAGATTGTCATTATTCAGAGGGGAAACTGGCTTATATACTACTCTAAATGTGGCTGTGTAACTATCTAATTAAGGAAATATGACTCATAGTGACTCAGACAGAAAAATGACTCATAATGACTCAAACTGAGTCATAGTTGAAATGTCCCATGATGACTTGTTCACTTCTCAAATATTCCCATCTATTAACTTTCTTCCTTCAGTTTCCTGACTAATCCATCTCATCTTACTAATCCATTTCATCTGACTAAGCCATTGATCACACATGAACTGTCGAAATGTTAGGATGTTACTGTAAATATGTTTCAGAACATACAAAAAAATGTGAAGAATTGTAAAAAACAATCATAAGATTGTGAGAGAATGCTGAGTAATGTGTTGTGGTATGTTTGGAACTTATCTTTAAACTGGATAAGTGTTAATTGAATTATTATGTAGCATTATGGGTTTGTTATGTCTGAAAATTACTCAAATCAATCATAATGTGTTTATAGAAAATTCTTAGTAATTTTGTAGAGTAAAACAGAGAACATCAAAGCTCAAAGTAGCCATGACCATGCACAAAACAAGTTTGGTGCATGTCAGCGGATTAACAATGATGATGGGTATTTCAGATAGAAAGAGCAGTAATATTCGCAATGTCAACTAAAAACTATGAAATATCGGGTTTGACCCCTAAGCATCAGGAAACAGCTCCCTACTACTTGGATGATGAATGATACTTAAAGTCAGTCCAATATATATGTAAGTATGTATAAATGCAGAAACCTATAGGCAAAAGTAGTGGCAGAATATTTTGGAGCCAAAGTACATGTAAACACAAACTACACGTTGCGGATGATGGGAAAACATGTAATAGCGCTGGCTGCGACATGGGTAATGTGCGAAATAACAACTATGCACCTAGTGGAGCTAGCAGGACAGGACAAGACATGAGAAGGACAATTGTGCGGGAATATGTTGGGTCCAAGTCGGCCTAAATGTTGTGTTGATCGATAAGCATTGAGTTGAGTGGGTAATTGTCGGGTTGTCATCATAAAATGATTAGCATGTGGCAGGCATCTGATGTGTATTGGAAAATAACTGAACACGAGCTCAGTGCAAGGCTGAGTACTACAGTGCTGTGTCCCTTACCAAAGTAATTGCATTTAATTTCCAGTGGCTGAGAATGAACTCCAGAAGTTCAGCGGACATTCAGAAAACTACAGAAGGACTACTATGGACAAAGTCCAGAGTAGAACCAAATGGAGTATGGACTGCCAGAGGTAGAGCTGAAGATGTGAAGTCTTCAGAATCAATCCTAATATGTAAGAGAAAGACAAGAGATGAGACTCAAGTCAAACAGAGACAGGAATGAGCAGGGATCTAAGATGATATTTGAACTGAGGTGTTACAAAGAGTTGGAAAAAATGTGGTGTTCAACAGGTTTTGAACTTGTTGCACTGCAATAGAAACAGATTTTGACTCTGTTATGACAGCCACATGGCTAAACACAACTTTGATCATCTTGTGAACAAACCGATGTAGGTGAGGAATGTAGAATGGTAGAAGGTGGGTGGTGTGAGATATACTCAGATGGTGCTCTGTGCATGAATCTAATGTCGGCCCAAGGGGATTGCTACTGAGAAGGTTTCTCTATATATAATAGTGGAGGGAAACACTGAACCGGGCTGTCGGATAAGCCTGGTGAGGTGCGCGACGATGAGCGAAGCATGGAAAGCGCTATGGAGCGCTACTGAGCGACAAGTGCAATGGCGCGCGCTGAGTGAGAGCGAAGCGCGCTGTAGGGATTCATTTCTGGCTAGGCTTGGAGAGACTGTCTTTACCTTACCTTATGTTGGCACTTTGTAGCTTACATAATCAAGTTATCTTTTCACCAGTTACCAGTATGAGTCTGTCTGAGTCTTGAGCAGTTTTTATGACATTTCCTCTCCTCTGAGCCTTGAGCCTGGTCCAGAAACCCTTTAGGGTCGAATAGCAGCTAGGTTCTGCAAGACCCAACATTGTTCAGACTTACCATCTGAATTGTTGTACCTTCAGCGCGTGCGGGTGGTGGAGCGCAGCGACTCTTAAGTGAGTTGGGGAACAGATAAGACAATGTTCGTATATAAGAATATAAAGACTGGCGCTCGGGCGCGTTAAAGCGCTCTACTGTCGGTTGGTGGATATGACGGAGAATTTCAGACTTAGAGTCCAACAATGTGCGGGAAGAAGAAGATAATCATTATACATAGAGGCAAAGGTATATATATTCTAAGTAGCGTTAAGCGCTGTCAAGTGCTAAAGCGAACCAGAAAGCGAGGAGCGACTACGTGATGATATGTAATAAGGGTCCGTGACGAAACATACGGAATATGTGCGCAAGCGCCGGAGATATGTCAGAATACATGAGAATAAGATAGGAATATGCACCAACGAACTGAACAGACATGGAATGGATGGACAAAGGACGAGCGATGGAACCAAGGATACATGCGCCGATGTGCGACTGAAGTGCCTGAATGCGCAAGCAGCCGATGAAGCGCCAAGTGCGCAGAAATGAGATACGGGTCGCGCTGTGTTTGGAAGGTGATTAGGGCGTTGTAGAATTAGCTCTCTATGAGGCCACAGAGATGTCAGTCTCTACACCGACTATGAGCAAATTTCAAGGTGTATTTTGATAGAAAATGAATTTTATCATTGGCAGGTTTCAAACCTGCACATTCCAAGAGAAACAGATTTTGACTCTGATGATCACTTGACAATTTCTTCTTTAGCAGGTTTTGAACCCACACAGACAGATTTAGATTCTGTTGCATCTACTGGTTGACTAGGACCAGTTGAATGTACTTCCAATGAATCCATTCAAAAGTGAATCCTCAAGGCAGTTCTTTCAATAATATGGTTGCCATGATTGATTCTTTGATTCTACTCTTATTGCAAAAGACATCAGAATTCTTCTGGGGCTCTTGACTTCAAGACCTGTTTATCTAGCAATTGCTCTGAAAAAGTGCTGATGACAGACCACCATGGTGGGCCGATGATGTTTGTGATGTCTTGGGATTAACAGCTGTGTCATGAGTGAGGACCGACAATGGAAGGATCACATATGATTGGACTCAAGGGGGATGTTAGAAAATTAATGT